GTTGCGTGTCGCTTCGCGTTGAATTTTCGTCGATGTTAAGTCTAACAAAGACTATTATAATTTTCTAAATTAAAAAAAAAAAAAAGATAAATTGATAATTGAATTTATACAAAATTTATCAGGTAATTTCTGAAATTAAATAATATAAACCAATAATTTTATGTAATAAAGAAGCAGTCGAACGTAAATAAGTTAACGTACCGCCGCCATGTTTGGATTCTTACATTATACTGTACTTACTTCGACGTCACGATAACATCTAAAATGTCGTGGATAAGTATAAATACACTGTATAAAAAAAACATTATCGGTTATAATCAAGAAACCGACACGTCCTGGCAATCTATTTTTGAAAACTCGTGACATATACAGTAACTGTCCTCTTTTTTTTTCGGTAGTGTAGGCGTTGAAACCAGAACACAGCTAAAAATGATACTGTATAATATATATATTTAGAGTTAGATTTAATTAAATTATCTGTTAAAAATTAAAATGGGATGTGAATAAGTCGCTGCCCATTATTATTTTTTATATTAAATTTTTTACATATTCTAGTGTTATTTTCTTAAATAAAACATATCGATGAGTTAGTTTATAAACGAAAGAACACACGTAAAAGGAGCAAACAGGTAAAACTTGTTGTGCAAGTCTGTTGAGGTCGTTATCATTGGCTCAGACCGGAGAATGCTTGAAAATACCGGCATTTCTTGTCACGAATTGGTACGTTGGTGGTTTAAGTGGTAGGTTTTTTTTAGGTCCTATAAGCACGAATAAAAGTATTATATATATATTAAACTTATGAGTTATTATTAATAATAATAATATAAAAAAGAGTAATAATTAACTATGCCACATCGATGACTAGTTCCTTTTATTATGGTTTTAACCATCTCGAGATAGTAGATTTCTTTTTTTAATCAGAGCGTGAATTCTATATTCTGAAACTGTTTCCTTCGATTGAATAACAACAAAACACAACTTATGATATCAGGATGTTTTAATTACAAAAGAACCTTTATATAAACAACACACACAAGTTAGTCTTTGTCATTTACAAACTTGGAAATAATTAAATTACCTTATTACCGGTTAAGTCTTGCATCCCAATTATAATAAGTAGACTGGTTACAAGACTAATATTTAATTTATGGTAATTATTATTAAAAAAAAAAAAAGGAAATTATCTGACTGATTATTAGCGTAGATTCCCAAGGTTTAAGAACTTTTTCTTATTATTTCTTTCACGTATTTAAACTGAATAGGGAAGACAGAACGAGGAACTTGAATCTTCCCTAAAGGTGGAATATAATAAAGAATTAGGACAGAGATTTTTTAGTGTACCTGAACTAATTTTTTTTTATTTATTTAATATTTCGAAAGGTAACATAGATAAACTTTTTAATATATCTTTTCTAATTTTGAATTTTGCCTGGCAGCATTTATTTATTTATTTATTTATTCAATTCTTCTTCTCGAATTTTATCTGTGTGTGCTGCTACATACAAGCCTTATTTTAACACAGATATATACAAATTTTTGAATACATTTCGTTATTTTTTTTCTTTATAAATTTCAGTATTATACTGACCGTTAACAAAAGAATGTTTTGTTTTTTTATATATCTATATATACAAATTTCGGTCTTAATACTGAGAATCTAACGGTACACGTCTATAATTCGGTTCTACATAGCTATATCTATACTCACGGTTTTCTGGTTGATAATGCGATTGTTTTCTTCGTTCATCACTCGAGGTATGCCTTTCTATATCTTGAGACCTATAACGTCCTGAATAATTGGGTGATATCCCTCTCCTGATGGGAGATGGAGATTTGCGATTAGAAGAGGATCTGTGAGGTTGTCGGAAGTCTTTTTCCGGATAAGGCACCGAATTGGATAGAATAGATCCTTTAGAGCTTTGAGAATCTCTTTCCGCCGAATAAGAATACGGTCGTGGTACTCTGGGAGGACTCGCCGATCGCCTACACACTTCACTATTGTATTTATGGTTACGCGCATCACGATTTACAACCGGTGCTTTGTGATAGTCATCTTTGTGCCTCGTATAATGCTCACTATAATGGGTCCTCGAAACTCGATCCTTAGATGAATAACTAGATCTAGGATGAGAGTGAAGGTGTTGATTAGGAGAAGTGGATTTAGGTTTAACGTGCACTGCGGGTGGCACTCTCCTCCATTCGAAATGAATCATTTCGTCTTCTTCCGGAAGAGTTTCGGCTTCCGGCCAATCTTCGTCGTCGGAGCTCGTATCCGGGTCTAATTCTTTCTCTTCGAATTCGGCGTGCGAAGTTACTTCCTGTATAGCAGAACTCAGAGCTTCGTCCGAGCCTATGCCACTAGATTTACCACTAGATTTACCTGTCGATTTACCACTAGAATCGACATCTTGTTTTTTAATATTAGATCCTACTAGATGAATATTAGTGCTCTTTCTTAATTCGATTCCGCTTAACTTTCCTTGCCTTCTAGTAACCGTATCGTAGTCCTTGGGAGGAAGCAGGATGGGGCAACTATCTCTATTTTTCAATCTCTCTCTTAATTCGGCAGCCAACGAGTCGTAAAGGCTAGTAATATCTTTCCTAATCGGCACATCTCTCTCGGATTCTGCGGAATCCTCAGTTTGGTCGGAACCATCCGTTCTGGTACTCAACCCGTCAGAATTGAGCCTTCGCGACGGTAGCAAGCCTTTAGCAGACAGGCGATTCTCGATCTCGCGGAATTTTTTCTGATTTTCCGGTCTCTCCACCAAAATCTGTAACTGACTACGAAGAGTGGCTGCAGTCTCTACGGAATCGCATCGATAAGCGTGTACGTGAACCGGGCATTTCGTTAATGGATTGTAGATAAGTAAAATAGTACATACGATATCGTCGTTGGGTGCCGATTCCTGTCGAACACACGTGATTGCGTGGTGTGGTATGAAGTGCTTAATCTGTTCAGTCTTTCCTTTTGTCTTCCTGGCAACGTTTTGTATGATTTTTAAGCCCTTGTTGCTGACTTGTAGCGTCACTTTCATAGGTTCCGACTCCCTCTCTTTGTCTATTAAACATTTTAAAACGGGACGGATGTATTCTTCTCCTCGTAATCCTTTACTTTCTTTAGCTCCTAGGAACCAAACGTAGTAAGATTGCTTCTTAATATCTTTGCGTTTTCCACTGCGGAAAGCCATGGCACATCATACCTCGCACAGCACAGCACAGTACATACACAAGCAACGGGCGAGGGCGACTGCAAACCGGTTTCTCCGTTCGCATTCCACTGGCTGGCCTCAGGCTTCCAATCCGATCCCTTCTCGTTATACGATGTGACAGGCTCGTTACACCTACACAAAAAAACAAAAATAATAAATAAATTTGCATACCTATCACCATTTGCAATAAAAACTTCCGATGATCTCTTCTACATAAACTCACTTGTGCCATTAAAACTATCCGACGAATATCCAGCATAATTGGATAGAACCTGTGCGTGTGGGAACGAAGCCAAATTCAACGACCGACCCAAGCTCGTACGGCCAAGTTCAGCGAGAAACAAACTACAAATGTAGGACGTGGACAGAAGTAGGCCTATTGTGTAGGATAAGAGCCTTCGGGCCTCACGTATACGCGTTATGGTTGGTAACAGTCGAACGTGAACCCGTCCGTCAGCGAATGGCGATAAGTAAAGTTTTGTGAAGTAGACTAATAGCTTTGTAATCATCGAAGGCAGATACGCGATTGCGCAGTATTTAATATTATCGTTAGCCCATGACGTACTGGTAGAGTTAACAGAGAGCATAATAAGATCCCTGACCCCGACTCTCTTACAATAGGGCTAGGTGTAACAGAATAGAATTTCCTGCAAATTAGTTTTGCTTCTTTTGTTAATTCAACCATCCTCGTCGTGTAAGTCGGAAAGATTTTTATATAAAATTGTAATGTGATTTATGGGTTCTGTTAGAATACAGTTTTTATACACGGCATCTGAAGAAATCTATCTTGTTTTCGTGCGAGACGTTAAAATAGTTCAATGAGAAGAAGAAAAACCTCCCATGAAGGCCATTCCGGGAAAGATTTTTTAATAATGATTAATAATCATTCTTAATGGATTCCTACGGATGATAAAATGGGGATAAAAAGTATAAAGAATCGAAAGAATGGAGTTAGATTAGATGAAGTGAGACAGTAACGAAAAAAAGCGAGAAAATAATTGCCGACGAGGAAGCTAGATGGTAAAGAAACGATTTCCTCTTTCCTTCGGGCGCTGAAAGATAATTTGGATGACAATGGATCCTCCTTTAATACTTCTATCCTTGCAACGACCTTGACATTACAACTATAGAGGACCCTAGCAAAGGACTCCTTTATAATCATCATTTTTTTTTTATTTTTCTCCCGGTGGGAACTTTCTAATGCAAAATTCCAATAAAAATTTGTTTTTTTCTTCTTCCCCATTATCCTATCCACGTTACTTATTTGAAGAATGCTACCAGCATTAGTTATATAAGCGATACGATTTTGCACATTTCGATGCATGCATCAGGTGTGATGGATTTAAGATAATCACTCGAGCAGGTCAAGGGTGACGTCAATTCGTGCATAACTATTTTAATGCAAATAAGAATAAATATTCGATATATTACTTATTATGTAGACGAAACAGAACGAAGATAAAGGGCGCAAAGTCACACATTCTTCGTGTTGTTTCGTCGTGATTTTATACCCCTCCATTCTAAGCATTCGTGGGTAGGAAATTTTAAATATTACAAAATACATTTGACTCGTATGCCAAAAAAAATAATGTTAGTAAATTTAATTAGATATATCTCGACACAATCAAAATAATTGAAATGTTTGCATAAAGAGGAAAGGTAGTTTTACAGCATTCTATTTATCACTTCGATGACAGAGCTTTTTTTGCCCCCTTTTCCTCTAGCAATAAATAACTTTGTTATATATCTAACTACATTTATATTCGATTCATATTTTAAACATAATTTAATAGTATAAATCCTGTTTAAACTTTACTAAAAATAGCTCTTTAACTACGCGACTCGACTTACACTTTTACGACTCCTGACAGATTTAACTTTATAAATAGTTAATGAACCTACTTAAAAATAGATATTTATTACAGAATTATTGCTAAGAAAGCCGTAGAAACCCACTTAAAACTTAATTTCCTTTCAGTTCACGAGGTAGATAGAACGATAAAAATGACTGTACTAACGGGAAAATAAATCACGGATAATAGCCAAGACAGCTGTTTATTTAATATATCGAAAAGTTAATCATTTATAGTATGTATGCCAGAATAAAAAAAAAGTTTAAAGTTGAAAATAATTAATAAGAGATTTAAAAAAGAAAGAAGTAAAGCCACCTCTTCTGTGGCATCAGATCCAGGATGTTATTAACCCGTGCAATGACACAACCAGTTCTTATTCCTGTATCAATAAAAAAAAAAAACTGTAAACTGTATTATACAACACCTGGCCATGATTTAATAATAATTCGAAAGTGGGTAATTAATATACATAATTATTTATTCGGCTTTCGGTTGCACACACACACGGATAAACACCCAAATCGAAGTCATAAAGTTCGGCTCTATAATTAAGTGTAAAGAAGAATAATCATCCTTGTGTCTACACGTCTACATTTTTCTAATTTAAGTATAGACGAATTATTCTAACAAATATTATAATTATTCTAAGTGAAAATTATGAAATTATTGTTTCATTTTCGCTTGGATGCGCCTCGTTTCTTTAAGAAGGAAGTCATTTTTAATGCCACCTAACAACAACTCTTTTAAGTGTATAGTAATTTTCGATATTGAACCGAGTGTGAATTATTTTTTAAACTAGCTAAGTACAGTAAAAATGCCAAGTATTTAATGAGTTTGTTTGTATCGTCACGCATTCTGGATTCTTCTTCCCCCCTTAAAGATACAGCTTACATCCTCCTCCGGTAGAAAGTATACGTTAAATCGAAGTAGAATCCTTTCGAAATAAAGAAGTAAAAGCCATTTTTTTAAACGCTTAATTTGTCCGTTAAGAAACGAACAGTTCATGAAATGGATCACGCTGCGAAGAAACGAACAGTTTCATGAAATGGATCGCTCTGCATTGTAACGTAATACTCTTCTGTAATGCAATATGTTGTAATCTGTTTATTTTTTTGTCCATTTTAAACGGCGCATCTCTTAACTAGATCTCTCGAAAATGTTCTAGATGGTAAAAATAACGATTTTTTGGGGAAAAAATACATTCGGAGATGATTATGCTTGAGTAATCAAGCGCTCTTCGTGAGTCACGCGATGCCACTGCGACAAAGCTTGATGTGGAAAATCAGCGATAAGATTTTGTTTTTTTTCCTCAGAGCTCATTTATAAAATTTACCGATCGTAAAAATTATTTGTAGAAAGAAAACTTTAAAAACTCCTCAAGTTTTCTTACTTACAACTCGAAATTCCATAGTTCGGGTCAATACCTTTCGTCTTTCGCGTAAATTTAACTCTTAATTATTCAATGTACGAGCTGTGCCAATACTTAGTTGGGTCAAGCATTAAATTTTACTAATCTTTCGCCTTTCGCAATGAGTAAGAATGTGCAATTTCTTTCTTTTCTTTTTTTATTCGAGAAAGGTGGAGATTGCTTAAATTCGGGTGTGTCGCGCGATTACATAAAAAGTCACCTGTATAAAACGTAATTGTATAAAAAAAATTAGCGTAAATAAGTGAAAAAAAAGGAATAAAATTAATTTGTCTTGTTTGCTTAGTGAATCTTTACACCACATTGAGTAATCCTCAATTAGGAGAGAGAAAATGAATAGCCTATATAATCACCATGCAGGAAAATAGCCTGTTGTTTGTAAGTAATTCTTTAAGCATCAATGAGAAGCAGAACAAGTAATTATTATTATTATTTATTTATTTATTTAATAAATAAATAAAGAAACTGAACTTTTGAATTAAAAATAAACGAAATTTCGTCATCAGAAAATGAGTAAATTATCTTTAAAGTAACCTCATCCAATGACCTATTCGTTTGACCATATTATCCGGTGAAAACTATTACTGTTTTTTTTTTTGTAATCAGCGTTACAAATCTGTAAAATAATGTATATAATATTTACTAAAAATAAGGTAACGAAACAATGAAATGATCCCGAAATTGAGGGAATGGTCATGGGACTAAGAACTCAATAGGTCTATTGTGTCTTCATGCTGAACGTTATAATGAATAAGTTACTCTAATTTTACATTATTATGAGGTAAGATGAGGAGGTTCTACCTAGATCGACGACTGAGTAAAATCGAGTTATCTCTCTCTCTATCATCCGGTATATTTTCCTTCCCTCCTTTAAATTCTAGTATATAGGAAGAGAGGGTGGAGTGATAACAAAATTCTTACCTTGACAATTGACTGATCGAATGTCGAGATACACTTTCTAACGTAACAGTTACGCTGAATGTAACAAGTAGAAACGGTATGGCGTATGAAGTTCTGATGTATGACCTTGTGCAATTCCTGTTTGTTTGGGTGTAGCCCGTTCTAAATAACTACGAGATGATAGGAGTGCGTAACCTACTGACCTTTGACCCGCGCCATTACGAACTTGCGTGTGAGAAACATCAAATAATATAATATATATAGACGAAGATATTTAAATTGAAATTAAATTTTTATTTATACTCACGAAGACTCATCTCTCGTGAGAAGAGGAGGACATCCTCTAAGGTCAGAATAGCCTGACAAATTCGAAATCACGCAACTAATTTATGTATTAAACGGATGTTAACCTTCTATATAACCCCCCTTTTTTATTATTATCTTAATTAAGTCTTCTATTGTGTCATATGGTTAGTAGTTTAATACAATTCGTAGCTACCATCTTTAATACGAGTTTCTCTTCATCCCCTTTTAGAAAAACTCATAAAAACTTAAGCTGAAAGTATTAAATATATATTTTTAGATGTATATTTATAGAAACTGTACTGAATTATACTATAAAAATAATAAAAAAGAAGGCTAAACTCCCGTACAATTTACTTAAGAAGTCAGCCATCAAAACACTAGGAAGTAATCANCTGTCCACGTGGAGTTTTCCGTGTTCTTTTCACATTTGTAACACCTAAATAAGGACGAGTTTTGCCCTTATTTAGGTGTTACAAACACCCAATTTTGAAGATCTCCCACGTGTAACCGAATACACCAAACCTGCATAAACTGAAATCCCTATGAAGTTCGCTGCTCTGAGGGATCTGGAATCGTGTCCATGCCGGATTCTCGTAGATGTTTAGTCCGGATATTCCAGGCTTTCTTAGGGATATGCCAGGCCTCTTAATGGGGCCTGGTATATTTGGCATGCTAGTTGGACTAGTTATGAAAGGCCTCCTGCAAGATGGTCTGAAGAGGTTCAAAGTTTCGGTAATTGTTTATGAATTTTTTTTTCAGTGAATTTTTCTTGTTAACTTAACAAAATTTGGGCCTTTTAAACTAGAAACGAGTCTGAAATTGGATAATTAAATATTTTGTGTGATTTATCTTATATAAATTCAATTATATGACACATTAATCTTGATTTTATGACAGAGTAGTTAGACAA